GAAGTAGTACGTAACGTTAGTTTTCGTTTTTCTTTTTCGTTTCGTCGTGATATAATCTACTCTATATATTATTATTATTATATATATATATATATATATATATATATATACACACACACACACACTTCATACACACACTACATCTTCTTAAGCCAATCATCTATTGATGAGCACTTGGGTTGCTTCCATGTTTTGGCTATTGGAAATAGTGCTGCTATGAACACTGGGGCACACAGTGTCTTGAATTAGCGTCTTTGTTTTTTCCAGATACATACTCAGGAGTGGAATTGCTGGATTACATGGTAATTCTATTTTTAGTTTTTCAAGGAACTTCTACACTGTTTTCCACAGTGGCTGCACCAATTTACAAACAGTGTACAAGGGTTCTGTTCTTTTCACATCCTCTCCAAGTTATTTGTAGACTTTTTGATGATGGCTATTCTGACAGGTGTGAGGTGGTCTCTCACTGTGGTTGTGACTTGCATTTCTCTAATAATTAACAATGTTGAGCATTTTTTCATGTGCCTGATATCCATCTGTATGTCTTCTTTGGAAAAATGTCTAGTCAGAAAAATAGCAGAAGCTCCACTTTTTGATTGGATTGTTTGGGTTTTTTGATATTGAATTCTATGAGCTGTTTGTATATCTTGGATACTAACTTCTTGTCAGTTGCATCATTTGCAAATATCTTCTCTGATTCCATAGGTTGTCTTTTCATTTTGTTGATAGGTTTCCTTTGCTGTGCAAAAGCTTTTAAGTTTAGTTAGGCCTCATTTGTTTATTTTTGCTTTTATTTCTTGTGCCTTGGGAGACTAATCTGAAAAAGTATTGCTACAATTTATGTCAGAGTGTTTCATGTATGTTCTCTTCTAGGGGTTTTATGGTCTCATATGTTAAATGTAGGTCTTTAAATCATTTTGAGTTTATGTATACAGTATGAGGGAATGTTCTGATTTCATTGTTTTACATGTGGCCTTCCAGTTCCCAGCACCACTTGTTGAACAGACTGTCTTTTCTCCATTGTATACTTTTGCCTCCTTTGTCATAGACTAATTGACCATAGGTGTGTGGCTTTATTTCTGAGCTCTCTTTTCTGTTCAACTGATCTGTGTGCTTGTTTTTGTGCCAATACCAGACTGTTCCAATTTCTATACTTTTGTAGTACAGCCTGAAGTCTGATAAGAGTTTTATCTACAGCTTTGTTCTTTTTTCTCAGGAATGCTTTGGTAATTTGGGTCTCCTGTAGATCCATATACATTTTAGGATTTTTTGTTCTAGTTCTGTGAAAAATGTCTATACCTTAGGCAACATTTTGATAGGGACTGCATTAAATCTGTAGATTGCTTTGGGTAGTATGGCCACTTAAGTAATATTAATTCTTCCAATACAAGAACATTGGATTATCTTTCCATTTTTTTGAATCATCTTCAATTTCCTTTATTAGTGTTTTATAGTTTTCAGCATATAGGTCTTTCACTTCCTTGTTTGTTTATTCCAGGTTTTTTTAATAGCAATTTTAAACAAGACTGTTTTTCTGTATATTAATCTTGTATCCTGCAACCTTGCTGAATTAAAAAAAATACTTGATTCTTAACTGACTAATCTAGAGACTAAAATTTATAAACTGCTCACAGAATCTCTGTAAGTAGAACTATAAACTTTTCAACAAATTGGAGTAATTAGTAATTTCCAGGTCATGATCTTCTACCAAAATAAAGCAACCTCTAAAATCTTAAGAGAATCATCCTACGTTTTCACTTCAATCATTAACATGGCTGGATACGTAAAAGAAACTCTGTAAATGCAGAAAGGTTTTTTTAATATTTAATATTTAATTTTCTTTTTAAAATATGTTCACTGTGACTCACAGAATTTACTTCATTACCTACTAATGGGCAACACACATATTGTGAAGAACATCAACACAGAGACATTTTCCTCTGCTATGTTAGAAGCTTGAGAATGTCTGTTTGATGACCAAAGAAACCAGCCAATCTGCTTGACAGCTGGCTGGTACAGGACTCTAAGTGGTAAGTATATAGCTTAGATTTTCATTCCTGATACTTTTTGATGGGAAAAGCTTAAGAGTACCAGTTATGTTATGGTCTAGTGAGGATCCAATGAGACTTTTCATGGCTAGGTCAACTATCAAGTTGGATTTAACAATATGGTATTAGAACTTTCTTGGACTACATCATTGACCTCCAGCCCAGTGCTGCAAGTCTCACATCTCCCCCAACAAACTGGAGTTGAGCTCACCCTCCATACCTTAGGCAACATCACTTCCAGCCTCAACCTAGAAAGCTTATAACGCAATAAATATAATGGAACGGTCATCCAGATATAAAAGAATACATTATGAAGTCTTTAAAAAGAAGGCAGATCTTTATGTACTGGAAAGTAAAGAAGTGCAAAATATATTAGGGGGGAGAAGGAAGCAAGTATGTATAGTATTACCTCATTTATGATCACACACAAAAAAACCATATGTATGTGTTATGTTATACATGCACCAAATTTTTTAAATGAATATATGATTTTGTTAAAAGTGGTTACTTTGGGGCCGTAGAACCAGAAATCTAGGGAGCTTTCACTTTTAACCTTATACTATACTATTTCCATGTTGTACCATAAGTATTATTTTTATTCTTGTCTCAGTTTACCCTAAGTTGGACATCGTCTGAGGAGAAGATGAATACTTTCCTATGATCTTATGTACTGAGAGGTTATAATTTTTGCAAAATAAAGAAAAGACTTACACTGGGCACTGCACTGCTCCTGGATTATCAATAGATACAGTCAAAATTCCTCCATTTGTGGTGGAAGTCCGCCACCTAGTTTCAAAAAACCAAAAACTTCATTAAAATGGAAGTTTATAAATCCTACAGTGTATTCCATATAAAAACATACATTTTAAAATAGCCATTATTTTTTCTTAGCTTTTAGGAAATACAGATACCTGGGCCCCACCATGATTAATCAATCAGCATCCTGGGTGTAGGAACTGGACACCTGAATTTATTAAATATTTTTCAGTTAACAAATATATGTACCTTAAAAAAAAAATCAAATACAGAAAGGTTGCCAATGAAAAGCAACAGTCTCTGTTTCCCCACTATCCTTCCCATCCCTTCTCCCCAGAGGGAACACTTTTCAATCTTTCCTGTTTTTGCTGCTTGCTAGCTACCTCCAGTTCACTAAGCAAGATGTTTATGTAATAATAACTTACTATGGTAAGGATTCAGCTCATCACACTATCCTCTAGTTTCCCTTCCTACCCCTAAAGTTTTGATGACTACATCACTATTTTATTTCTATTATAACTTTTAAATATACTTAAATCTCTTTTTTTCAGCAGTGACTCTTGACATCATCCCCTTTCCACTTCGTATGAAAGGACAGTAGTATCTATAATTCCTTCCTTCCACCTCTTCTCCCACTTTGTACTTTCCACTTTCCATCAGCTGTACTTTTATATTTATGTTGGCAAAATCTAACATTAATATTACAATGTTACCAAATTAAGAATTTTGTGCTTTGTGCTATAGATTGACTCTCAAAGTTCAAAACAAGTAAACAGCATTTATATTATTACAATTATGTAAATATTGTTCATTGCAGAAGCTATTAGGCCATGATTACCATTTCTTTCCTTATGGTTTCCAATGTTTGACTCCTGTGCAAAAGAATACTGCTAGCATCAAGTTCAAATAGTTGTCCTTCTTATATTCTGATTGCTCAAAACCATGCCCATTTTAGATGGCATCATATCTGGACCATGATCAAGTTTTATGTTTTGTTTCCTCAGAAGTAGCCATAATGTTAAATTATTTAATCTCAAAAACTGATCATATTAATGGAATGTTACATCTCACACTTGGGAAGTATAATTCTAATAGACAAAAACATATTCTTAAAAAAACCTTTATGGGGTAAAGGGAAAAAAAGAGTATGTGAAAAGAAAACATCTTATTGTTTTTAAAAATTTACACATTTTCTAAAAGCTCTATTTGTTGCCTGAATAGGTTCATTTGTATGAAAGTAGTTATAGAAAATAAAGAGCTATTTCATTAAAATAGAATAAACAGGCATTAAAAATTTTTTTTAAATAGAATAATGTATTTGGTGCTAAAACTGTTACAACACTGATATGGGAAAATGCAAAAGTTTTGAGAGAAAAAACAAACAAAAACAAAATAGGATTTATTTATTTCAGGCTCAATGGTTAATCTACTTTGGGTCTCATCTAATTTCTCTTTAACTGGGGCACACAGTAATTTGGGTTACCTAGTATTCTGGGGGTTTTGAAATATCATCTTGAAAAACAAATTGAAACTTACTGACGAGTTCTCTTTGCTACTACATCGTCTAGCAGTTGTTCTGTGTTCAACTGGGCCTGAACCTGAAGGGGAAAAAAAAAGCAGTAGATCCCACAGAAAGCAGAGGACTTGAATCCAAAGATCTATCCTCCTCTGTAACTTTAACCCAGTGTAGTGTGTGTACAAATGCAGGAAAGGAGTATGTGCCTATTCTAACAACACCTCTTTGTTGGGGTTCCAGTATCAGAACAAGTAGTAAAAACAAGTTTATCCCTAAATAACATGTCAAATTCTTACAAGACATTGCCATTGAGGACAAGAGAAGAGAGAACAGGAGAAAAAAGAAAAGAATTAATCTAATGTCATGTTCTCCATACCCTAAACCCAAACTCTACCTCATTCAGGGGCCATGTCTATTCCTGAGGATTATTAAAGGTGGATGTTCAGGATCCTTTGTTTGGGTAAAAAGAAAACACTGCCAAGGGTTTTTTATACCTTAAGGCCTCTTCTGAAAAGAAAAGTTGCCTGACGAGTGTCCTTCTGATGACTTAATTTATTTCCACTTCTGGTAAAATTGGCTGGAATGTTATTTCTGCAACAAAAACACATAAACCATGAACAGTCTAGGCCACTTAACAACTTTGAAACATCTTGAGAAGAAAAAAGCAAAAATAGTTAAAACTCATAGGCTGAAAATTTGAGGTACACTAAAGACTCACAAAGGTATACTACACAAAGACTCTGAATTATATCCTTGTTTACCTGAAGATATTGCGATCTGATTTACAAATATCTCCCTCTGTAGCATATTACATAATAATCTGGTTAATTCTGAACTAATTTATCTTTCATATATTCAACTTTCTAATGTTCCAACATTTAAGGTCTCTTGTGAAGACATTAAAAATAAAATTTAAATGTTATTTCCTAAATTTGGTAAAAGATAAAAAAATGTACAGATTAACAAAATTATTACAAAGAAAATCACACCTAGGCACATCATTGCGAAACTGTGGAAAACCAAAAATGAAATCTTGAAACATAACATCTTTTCCAATTTTCTCTCCTCCACACAGAAGCCTTCATATATTATTATAAATCACAAAGAAACTTACACTCTTCCACTGTTTGCTCTTTCTTGCACAAAACAATATAATCTTAATTATGTTTGACTTGATTTTCACCAATTTCCTTCTAGTTTCTATAGAAAGTTGGTAAAATATGAGAAAACAAATTTCACATTTATCTACTTATTTATTTTTATAAATAAATGTTTAACAGGTGTCACCTCATCTTACCACCAATCTTATAGAAGCTCAAATGCAAAATTTCCCTTGCCAGCCCAATTTACATGGGCTCATTAATAGCTCTTGTAGTTAACAAGCTCTCATTTGAGAAGTTCCCCTTTTCCAAGAAGTACTCCCAAATGATTCCCAAAACAAAAAGAGATGATAATGAAGTAAAACTGCAATTGTAGCCATTCCAGTTATACAAAAACTTCATTTCAGGGTTTTGTTGTTCTGAATTATCGTCTACAAGAGATGAATAAATGGTATTTGAAGCTGAAATAATAAAACTTCACAGACTTTACTTCCTGTCTGTCCACTTTACCCTTACAGAGAATAGAATGTCATAACAATAGGTCACAATTTTAAAGTTTTGTTATATTTTCAATTTAATACAAAAATAATTTCAGCTTAAGAAGCATTCATGAGAATTTTTTTCTAGTTAGCATTTCCTGCAAATAATACATTCTATTAAGAGCCCCTGAGACTGTGTAACAAATTCAGCTTTCAGAATTCTCAATTTTGAATAATTCTGGCTGAGATGTTTTTACCAAAACAATCATCTTTTACAATTTTATTCTATATGTCAAGAGAGGCTATTTTAAAAAGTTTAATATTAGTTAAACTCATTAGTAACACTGGATCTAAAAAATAAGAAAGCTATTACTGAATGCTTCCATATCAGATGTTCAGATAGACATCCTAAATGTTTGTATTGAAAATGACCAAATAACTACAAGCATCACTGAAAATCCATTCCTTTGAACACTCAGCACAAGAAGTGCATCTTTATTTATGAAGGATAACATATTATTGTCTTGTATTTGAGTACTTACTTTCTATTTAACTGGTTAGGTCTCTTGAGAACTGCAACTGGTTTTCTCTGCACTTCATTTTGTCTCAGAAGGTTTGCCTTCCTTTTTAACGCTGGAAAATACCGTTCTATATTCTTTCAGAAGGCAAGAAACTATGTTAATTGGATTGCTTTTTGCTCTATACCCTACTACAACAAACATTTCTGGGGCAGAATGGACAGTGACTGACCACTGCTTAGATGTACAGGTTAGAGAGACAGAAAAGCTAAAACAACTTGAGTTATTTCTAATCTACGGACAAAAAAGATAATCACATTATACTTAAGATACTTGTAACCAAAGAAAAATTCACACAGATGAATGTATTTTTTCTATTTTGGATATGTTCAGTTTGAAGTACTCCAGGTGATGCACAGGTGATGAAGAAACATGGCTCTGGATGTCAAGAGAAGAATCAGAGAGCCAGAGATGTAAACTAAGGAATCTTTTATATTAATATGATTTTTTATATCAAGTGAAGGGATAAAACAGTCAAGTTCTGAAACTAATGTGTGAGAAGGAAAAAAAGAGGAGGCTGTGGTAGCAAGGAAGCCTGACTAGAAATGGTTACAGAAAAAAAAAAGGAATTAAGAAAATCAGTATCATAGAAAACAAGCACATGAAATGTCTATTTTTTCCCCCTCCACATATATTAATTCAACCCATCATTAAAGTCTAATTCAGGTTTCCACACTTTCCATGAAATCTTTCCAAAAGTCTTTTGACAATACAGACCATATCTTATACTTAACCTGGATTCCCTTATATTTTAAGCATATGAAAAGTACTTCATAAATATCAACTGACTAAAAAACACAAAAATTAGAAGTTCTCATTTTCATGAACATTTGTAAAAGAAATGTAAAAACAGTGATAAAAAATATCAAGAATATAGGAGAAATGTGAAATCAGACTAACAGTGGCCCATTCTGAGCTTTGTATTCTGTCTTTAATAATAACACCAAGGACTATTTTATAGGTAAATGTGAAAGTTCCATGACGTTATTGTCACATATTACTTTCCTTCAAAGTATCTGCCATACTATAATTATACAGTTATCTGTGTGATAATTTATATAATAGTCACTTGAGTTCTCCATGAGTACAGCGATTTTCTATTGAGTTACTGAAGAATCCCTTGCATCTAGGATATACTGAGTATTCAGTCAACGTGAGTAAAATAATGAATACAAGGATAAAAATTGTAACAAACCATTAATACATGGTGAATTTGTGTTCCAAGGATCTAAGGTTTGTACATGTGTATAAAAGTATTCACAAAATCTAGGGAGTAAGTTTTTCTCACACCATTTTGATATAAAAAATTATTCCTTGAGGGAAAGAAACTATTTAGTTTAATGTTATTAAAGTATTATTATACACAAAATTTTAAGTGTACAGTTAAATAAATTTGGATAATTACATATAATCATGTATGCACATCACAATCAAGTACCTTCACCCTAAAATGTTTCCTTGTGCTTCCTCCAAGTCAATTCCCTTCCTTCACCTGACTCTCACCCCAGGCAATAACTTATCTGTCACTTACCATTTAGCCTTTTCTACCATTTCAAATATATAGTATCACAGTACATAGTCTTTGGTGTTTGACTTCTTTTGCTTAGAATGACGTTTTGAAATGTATCCATGCTGTCCTGTGTATTAACATTTATTCCTTTTTTATTGTTGAATAGAATTCCACAGTATGAAGATAAGGTATTTATAAACTGTCAAAATCAGACAAATGACTAAAACTACCCATTAGCAGAAAATAACTGGTAAATATGCAGCAATAACAATTTTTTTTAAGTTCACAGAAGCACTAAAAGGTTTAGTATTATTAGAGTCAACTTAAAAGTTATACAAAATAGAACATATCCTCAGCTTTGGGAAATTCTGAATCTAAAAGGGAAAAGTTATAGAACTGACATTGACAAAGTTATATATTCAGGTAGAAGAATCCCTTAAGAACTTAAACTCAACTTTCACTTGGCAGATATTTTAAGTTGATTCTAAATAAAAAGAAAATTCATTCTTAGAAACAACCATTCCCCTCCCAGCACAGTCATTTGTTCTCTCAGTAAATACTAGTAATGTAAATAAGTATGCTATCTTTCCTCAGTTAGTAATTCACTTCATAGGTAAGAGAATGTAATTTTATTGACATAAAATCTCACTAATTCATATAAACTATGGAAAGGCAGAGATAAAGTAATGAAAAGTCTAATTACGGTCAAGACTTTTTTTAAGGAAATTTCCAAGTATATATAGCAATTCAAAGACAATTAAATTATTTAGGCAGTTTGTTTAATGACTAGAAAAGGCTGGTTATTTGCTAGAAAGTGATCTGTAGCACTCACTATATTCTATCCTGATCAGACATTAATCTATATTCAGGTTAAAAAAGGGTTCTTAAGAAACATACCTTTTCCAAAATCATTCAAACTTTGAATAAGTGAATCTTCAGTGCATTCTGAGTATACAATAATTTAACACTTTCAATTTTCACTATTTTCAAACAACTCAAAAGACTACCACATGTGGTAATTTAAAATTTTTCTAGAGCTAGTTCTGTGATAAAGTTTTAAAGAATAGTGGTTGATGGTAGCAGAATTGAAAAGTTAAGAGGTGAAGACAGTTGTAGTTAACCAGAACACACACATTTAAGTAATTTAAGAAATGAATGTCCTGAATTCTTTTTAACAAATGTGTATTACTTTCATAATCAGAGAAATCAAAAGGATTTAAAAACAGAACAGTGGAATAGATTTGGTGGCTTAGATTTACTAAACATAAGAAGCTAAAGAAACCCATTTGTGAAACTATTTTCAGGAATGCTTCATTTAGCCAATTCAAAAATTACTCATTAAGATGTAAATAAAAATTCAGTTAAAATTTGAAAAGTAGTTAACTTATGGTGGGTAAGTAATCGTAACTCTTTAAACCTAAGAGAAATGAAAACCTGTGTCCATTACAGACTTACAGGTGATATTAACAGCAACAAAATTTGCAATACCCAAAACAGTGGAAACAACCACAATGTCCATCAAGTGGTGAATGGATAAACAAAATACAGTATATCTATATAATAAAATATTATTCAGTAATAAAAAGAGAAAGTACTGATACATACTACAACATGATGAACCTCAAAAATACTATGGCTAAATGCCAGCCCACATATTATTGTATGATTCCATTTACAGGCATACCTCAGAGTTACTGCCAATTTGGTTCCAGATCACTGCAATAAAGCAAATATTGCAATAAAGCCAGCCACATGAATTTTTTGGTTTCCCAGCACATATAAAAGTTATGCTTACACTATACTGTAGTCTATTAAGTATGCCATAACATTATGTCTAAAAAAACTATATCTTAAAAATACTTTATTGTTAAAAAATGCTATCATTTTATACAACATTGTAAAATGATTATAAATCAATAAAAAATGTTTAAAAAAATGCTATCACCTAATCCTTCAGCAAGTTGTGATCTCCTTGCAATAATAACATCAAAGATCACTGATCACAGAACACCATAACAAATATCATGATTGAACAGTTGGAAATATTACAAGAATTACCAATATGAAACTGAGCAAATGCTGTTGGAAAAACACCACCAACAGACTTGCTCAAGGCAGGGTTGCAACAAATCTTCAATTTGTAAAAAAGGCAGTATTTAGGAAGCACAGTAAAGTTGATGACAGTAAAACAAGGCATGCCTGTATATGAAATGTGCAGAAGTTTTTCCTGTTAAGATGGCGGAGTGGTATGACCACGAGCTTGCCTCTCCTCATGACTACAAATAAGACCACAAATGACTGCTAAACAACCATTGAGAAAAAGACTGGAACCTAGCAAAAAAGACCCTCTTCAACTGGAAACATAAAGAGGGAACCACAGCAGGATGGTGGGAGGGGTGTGCTCACGATATAATCAGGCCCCATGACCCCCTGGGATAATTAAGGATAATTAAGTCGCAGAGGCCCTTCCACAGGAGTGAGAGTTCTAAGCCCCACATCAGGCCCCCCCAGCCCGGGGTTCCAGCATTGGGAGGAGGAAGAGACCCCAGGACACCTGGTTTTGAAGGCCAGTGGTGCATAGCTCTAGGAGCCCCATGGGACTGGGGGCAACAGAGTCTTCATTCTCTTGGGAAGCGTACACAGAATCTCATATGCACCAGGTCCAAGGGCAGAGGCAGTGATTTCACAGGAACCTGGGCCAGGCCTGCCTGCTAGTTTTGGAAGGTCTCCTGGGTACATAGAGGACAGCTGGAGCTCACTCAGGGGACATAAAAGCTCATGGCAGACATTCCAGGAGTGTTCATCTACATGAGCTTTCCTGGAGGCTGACATTTTGATTGAATCATTAGCACCAAGACCTAGCCCCATCCAATAGCCTGTAAGGAAGCCTCAGACCAAACAACATACTGGGTGGGAACAGCAGACTTCCTAAGCCAAAAAGGCCTCTAGCTAAGGCTCTACCCAACAGAGGTCCAGGATCAAGCTTCATCCAGCAGCAGGCAGGCATCCAGCTCCTCCTGCCAGGAAATCTGCATAAACCTCTAGTCCAGTCTCATTCAGGAGGCAGATACCAGAAACAAGAAATCAACAATCCCAAAGCCTGTGAAAGGAGGAGACTCAAACACAGGCCAGACTCTAACACTGGGACCAGCTGGACCCTAACCCTTGGGTGACAAGAGATAAGTATACTGCTGGGATGCATAGGACATTTCTCCAAGGTTGAGAAACATAACTAACCTATCTAAAAATACAAAAAGAAAGATAAACAATATGAGGCAACAGAGGACTATGTCCTAGGCCAAGGCAAAGATAAAATCCTAGAAGAATAAATGAGTGATGAGGAGACAGGCAATGTATCTGAGAAAGAGTTTCTAGTAATGATGGCGAAGATATTCAGACAACTCAAGAGGAATATAGATGCATAGAGTGAAGTTTTAGTAAAGAGTTGGAAAATACAAAGAATATCCAGAGTTGAAGAATAAAATCACTGAAATGAACAACACGCTAAAAGGAATCAAGAATAGAATAACTGAGGCAGAAGGACAGATCAGTGAGCTAGAAGACAAGTTAGTGGAAATCATTACCGCAGAACAGAAAAAAGAAAAAAGAATGAAAAGAAATGAGGATAGTTTAAGAGAACTCTGGGACAACATGAAGCACACTAATATTCACATTATAGGGGTCTCAGAAAGAGAAGAGAGAAAGGACCCTGAGAAAAAATTTGGAGAGTTAACTGAAAATGTCTCCAACTTGAG